TTAAGCCTAATTAATCCATCATTAACACATGCGGTTTACTATAGCACTTATAGCTAATCATGGACTAATTAGGCTTAAAATATTCATCTCGCGATTTTCATGTAAGCTGTGCAATTAGTTTTTTATTTATCTATATTTAATGCTCCATACATGTATCCAAAGATTCGATGTGACGTTTTTAGGAAAAAAAATTAGGAACTAAACAAGGCCGTAGTCTAATAACAAAACAAATTACATAATCCGTCTGTAAACTGCGAGACGTGTTTATTAAGCCTAATTAATCTGTCATTAGCAAATGTTTACTGTATCACTGTATTATCAAATAATGGAGCAATCATGCTTAAAAGATTCGTCTTGTAATTTGCACATAATCTGTATAATTATTTTTTTTTATATTTAATACTTCATACATATGTCAAAACATTCGATGTTACAGGCTAAAAAAATTTGCCGGGATAAATTTGCCGGGATCTTAAACAGACCGTAAAGATTCGATGTTACAGGCTGAAAAAGGCCTGGAGTCACATACGCACTGTATATAGGACTCTTGTGCACCTGCGCACTGCATTTGTTTGCCGTCCTTCCTCCCATAACTGCTCTGGCCTGCACGTCCTTCCACTGAACTCATGCTTCCTCCTTTATTAATTACTTTCGCTCCTCCGTTCACAAAATTTTGTCCGCAAACCTCTTTCAAAATTTACCAGGTCAATATTCCAACCACTATATTATTTATTGCTCAGTGATATTTATACTGCTAGACGTGATTTTTTCGAATCAACCTCTCCGGGATAACATAGTAATTCCACCCCCATAGACTTTGCTATACAACCTAGAATCCTTTATTTTTGGAGTTGTGTTAGCTGTTACGGGATTAAGTTTGCAACGAATTCTCATGTTGGATTTGAACCAACGGCTGGGAATTTCCCCGACAGAACGATGATGTAGTAAAAGGCTTGATTTGCAATCTCCACAAGGGAATTGAGGAACCGAATTAGTAACTCCCTCCGTTCCGTAATAAACGGAGCCATGTATGTTTCTGTGTCCAACTTTAATAGGCCGCCTTATTTAAAAAAATATAATTACTATTTATATTGTTATTAGATTATAAAATATGAATAGTACTTTATGTGTGACTTATGTTTTTAAGTTTTTTTAAAAAAAATTTAAATAAGACGGATGATTAAATATGGACACGGAAATTATGACTACACTTATTTTCGGACGGAGGGAGTAGTAGTTTGCAGTTAAAAATGACGTACGGTTGATCCGTACCACAACTTTCTGCCCCTATATAAGGCCGAGTTTAGTTTTAAACTTTTTCTTCAAACTTTCAACTTTTCCATCACATCAAAACTGTCCTACACAAACAAACTTCCAACTTTTCCATCACATCGTTCCAATTTCAACCGAACTTTCAATTTTGGCGTGAACTAAACACACCCTAAGTACCAATCATGCTTTGTACAATTATACTTGCATAGCATCTTATTGTAACTTTCTTTTTCCTTAAAAACAGTGGCCTTGAATGTACTATATCTAGCCCATTGGCATTGTCACTGAGCAAAAAGTTCACTATTCATAAAATTATGGCCATAAATAACCACTTTGCTAATCAATTAATATGATATCTAATAAATCATTTAGACTACATTATACATTGTTAGAACATGTCAATTGAAGGCATGAACGAAACGACAATGACCATCATATCATATAGCTAGCTCCGTTTTGAAATGTAGCGCATTTTTTTCTGGGAATCCAAACTTATATGCTTCTCAAAATGTACGTACTTTTGGCTAGAATCTCTACATGGAGAGAGTAGATGACATGTGTATGCATGTCAGGGGATGCACTTGACCATGGTGGATTTGGGGCTAGTCTTGGCGCCGCCGGCACCGGAGAAGACGTCGACAGGCGCACACTCCACCGCGACGTCGTACGGCCTGGAGTAGGCCAGCCAGACCTTGAACCTTACCTGTCCTCTCACCACCACGGTGAACGGAGGGCCTCTGCCGCCGCCGCCGCCATGGCTGGCGCCGAAGAAGTTCTTGTTGACGAGCGGCACCGTCACGAGCACGTTCCTCGAGCTCGCCGGCGGCTGGTAGAACGGGACGCCCTCTTGGACCGTCGCCTCCACCGACTCCATCCTGTTCCTCGCGGTGAACTGCTGCAAGCTCACCGCGAAGGCGAGGTACTGCACCCCGGCCCGGTGGCTGGGGTTGTCGGCGGCGATGGTGAGGTTGAGGAGAAACGCCTGGCCGCCGGCGGAAGGGCTGATGGACGCGCCGCCGCCGGTGACCGAGAAGGATATCCGCGTCGGGCTGAGGACGACGGAGGTGACGATGACGATGGCGCTGGCGGCGAGGGTTCCGGCGATGGCCGCCATGATGAGTGCTTGGCGCCCCACCAGCTTGGAAATGGGTGGCTGCTCGCCATGGATGTCTGCAAGAAATGAAGAAAGTGAAGACAATCCGTGTTTTGCTCACATCGCTAAACTCCTATCTAGTCACTACTCGTCAGTGCTGCTTGTTACTTATTATATATCTTCAAAAAACTATTCTGATGATATCTAAATTTCATACGCCTGAAATTTTTGAACATTTTATTCGTTTTCTGTCACTTGGTTATAATTTAATGGTTTTCATCACTCCCTAATAATTAAACAATAAACTATTCTATAACAAAAGATCCAGGAATTTACATAGAATAAACTTATAACTCAAAATCTACAAAATTCTAAGTCAATTTTTTCTTTATAAAATTCCATAAAAAATTCAAACATATATAAATACAAAATAACATATAGCAATAAAAGTGTACTAATTACAAATTACATAGCACTAAAGTTAATTTTAGGCTTAGCAAATTTATAATGTTAATTATGTGACTGGAAAATATTTGTGGTTTTCAGGCGACTGGAAATTTAGTCATGGGAATGGGATCGAGTGTGCTGCACGTGTGAGATGTTGTGATTGCGTTTTATTAATTCCGTTTCAACGACAGCGTTCTTTCTTTTACTAATTAGGGTGTGTTTAGATAAGGGGGTAAAGTTTTGTCATTTCACATCAGATATTTTATAGGATGTCGCAGGGGATGTTCGGTATTAATAAAAAAAACTAATTATTGTATCCGTCCGTAAACTGCGAGATGAATTTATTAAGCATAATTAATCCATCATTAGCAAATGTCAAATCATAGAGCAATTAAAAGATTCGTCTCGTAAAATAGTTGCAATCTGTACAATTAGTTATTTTTTAGTCTATATTTAATATACCATGCATGTGTCCAAACATTCGATGTGAGAGTAGGATCTAAACATGCCCTTAATCAATTTGTATCAGAACAGCAATAGATGTCTATAAATATAGTAGGTAGGCAATAGATGGATCATGGAGTGACGTGGATTATTTCATCCAGCTAACTTTAACAGTACTGTGTGCGGAGTGTGTGTTCGTCATGGACGACGGCAGCAAGCTGCAGCCGACGGCAACAAGGTTCCGGTGGCTGAACCTTGCGCGCTGCACGCTGGCCTCCGTGGTCACCGTCCTCGCCGTCGTCGTCATCGCCCGCGCCGTCGTCGTGCTACTCCGCCCGGAGAAGCTCCGGCTAAGCGTCGCCGGCGGCCGCGTGTCCGTCAGCAGGATGCCGGCGATGAAGCCGCTGCCCCGCGTGAACATGAGCTTCGTCCTCAGGGCCTTCAACCCCAGCGGCCGCGCCTCCATCGAGTACACGGGCATCACCGTCGCGCTCCGGGCCATCGACGACGGCGACGCCGCCTCGCCGGCGGCGGCGGCGCCGATCATCGCGCAGTTCCCGTTCCCGGACGTGCCCGTGGCGCAGCAGGTGGCGCACGAGGCGGCGGCGAGGGTGTCGCTGGCGGCGGCGGAGGACGTGCCTCTCCGGTACGTGAAGGCGCTGTTCGACGGCCGTGGCATCAGCGCGGCGATACAGGTGGACGGCTTCCTCACCACCCGCATGGAGATCGACGGGAGGATCAGCAGGAGCAACGGCGGCGTCGCCACCACGTTCTACTGCCTGCCGGTGACCATCGCCGTCGGCGACGGCGACGACGATGAGTCCCGTACCAGGGACACGTGGTGCCTAGACAAGTCTGACGTACCAGCTTTCGTTGGATAGACCGACGGATCTACTCCCTCCGTCAAAAAAAAAAAATCTAATCTAATATTAGATGTGATGTTTTCTATAACAACAAATTTGGATAGAAGTATGCTCAGATTCTTCTATTAGAAAATGTTCCATCCAATACCAGGTTGAGTTTTTTTAGGACGGAGGAAGTATGTATTACTACATGCTTTTTTTAATGAAAGTATTACTACATGCTTGATGATAATGTTTAATTATAGTATTAGCTAGTACTAGTACTATATACTCCCTATCCGTTTTATGATAATGTTAAGTTATATTAGCCACTATAGAATTCTTATTCAGCAGTGTATAATGGAAGCTTGACATCCAATCAAACACTGCTGTATAATTCTAGCCCACTTCGTTTGGCCCCGAAGTCCATAGCACAAAATTGTCGTGGCCTTTTGTCCTACCAGGCTTCCAGCCCAGCATACACTCCACCGGTTACAGGCTTAGAGCTATAGGCCCAGTATGCAGGCCCATCAAACCCCATCCAGACACTTCCAAGTCAGTATGAAAGGAAAAAGTACACCGAAGGTCCCTCAACTTGTCATCGAATTACAAAATTATCCCCCAACCACAAAACCAGATATCCATCGTCACTTAACTAATCAAAACCGGTCACAGTAGATTCTTCGGTGGTTTTGACCCCGGTTTTGTTCTACGTGCAGCTGAGTCAGCGTGGGACCCACATGAGCCTCACATGTCAGGCTGCCACGTCGTCTCTCTCCCTTCCTCCTCTCTCTCTCACTCTTCTCTTCTCTTCTCTTCTTTGTTCTTGGGCAAGCCGGCCAGCACTTGGGAGGAGGCCGCCGGGGCGAGGCGAGGCGGGAGAGGAGGAGGCGGCGGCGGTGGCGGAGGGAGAGGAGATGCCGGGGAAGGGGCGGAGGCGGAGGGAGAAGAACTACAGGGCGGCGCACGGCGGCGAACCGCGGTTGCCCCCACCACCGAAGCAGCGGGAGCTCGACGCGCTCCCGTCCAAGCTCCGCCGCCTCATCGCCATCCAGGAGAAGCACAAGGGCGGCGAGAAGGGCGCCGTTGCCGGAGACTCCTCAGGTGCGCTCCCCTTACGCCTTTCGCCCCAGCTGCCGCTGAACTATAGCCTGATGAAATTCCTACATCCTCTACAGGGAAACAAGGAGAGAGCGATGCGGCGAAGAACAAGGCTCTCGCAAAGATAAGGTATTGCGGGTTAATTTCTTGGATAAACACGGTATCTTTAAGCACATTTGCCTGCTATTACGTTGCATTTAGTCCGTTCATCCGGTTGCTGTAATACTTTTGTTCATCACATTCTATCGTTGCTCTTTGGAAATGCAAGAGAACTCTACTACTCTAGTATTAATGCAATTTGTTAGCTTGTGCCCGATTTGCTTCCGCAGTTGGTACCTTGTCATATTCTGTATGTTCCATGTAGAAGAAAACTAAGAAGCAGAACTTGGAGCCTACTGCTGATAGCAAAGCCGCAGAGATTAGTGGTAAGGATGGACCGATATGATTGGCGATGAGAACGCGAGTGTAGATGAAAGCAAAAGGAAGCGGAAGAGGGGGGAAGCTATGGATCTTCGTTTCGGACTTCATCGACGCCGGAGCCCTCTCCTCCCTCCTCCAAGGCGGCAGCGGCGCCGGGCGCCGGCTTCACGTCGCGGGCGTCGCGCTGGCAGCCCCGCGCGGCGTGGCGTTTATCTACGGCGCGGGCGCCGGCGCTAGCTCGTCAGAGATGCTCGCGCGGAGGAGGAACCGAGGAAGAGAAGAGGGGGGATGACGTGTCAGCCTGACATGTGGGGCCCACGTGGGTCCCACGCTGACTCGGCCGCCACGTAGGATAAAACCGGGGTGGGTCAAAACTACCGAAGGACGCCGTTGACCGGTTTTAATTTGTTAAGGGACGCCGGATATCTGGTTTTATGGTTGTGAGACGATTTTGTAACTCGATGACAAGTCGAGGGACCTTCGGTGTACTTTTTCCCAGTATGTAATGACAGACCATTGCTTTTTTTAAAAAAAAAAAAAAAGAAAAATACTCCCTCCATCTCATTCAATAAAATGAGGTCAAATCTAGCACGGTATTTAAAACCCGGAGGGAGTATTAAAAAAATTAAGTAATTATTAATTATTTTCCTATCATTTGACTTATTGTTAAATATTTTTTTATAATACATATAATTTTACATATTTCATAAAAGTTTTTGAATAACATGAACGGTTAAACATGTGGTAAAAAGTCAACGGCATCAAATATTTAGAAACGGTGGGAGTATATTTCTATGGTTTAAGTTTCCCATAAATTTTGTCTTATTTCCTAACGACTTACTCCCTCTGGGCTGATAATATTAGTCGTTTTGGATAAGGGTAAAGTCAAAATTTAAAATCTTTGACTACAAATAATTTCTAAAATATTCATCTTAAAAATATGAAAATCATAAGTATTAATCATGTTTTATCATCTAACAACAATGAAAATACTAATTATAAAAAAATTTCATATAAGACGGACAGTCAAACGTTGGACACGAAAGTCTAAGGTTTGTCTAACTTTTTTTTAGACGGAGGGATTAGCCTGGTAGGGTGGTACTGGTAGTCTGATACCCATGCATTGAAGAGAAAATGGACAGGCCAGACGACAATAGGACAATAATTAATAAACGTGAACCACGACTGTCATCTTCCATTAATATGTGGCTCCAAAATTGTGTAATTAAAACGTTTTCCAGAGGTTGCAGAGGTTGTCGAGGAAAAGAACGGGACCTAATTTCTAAAATTCAACGTACAAATGTACCACGTCATCATACAAATACCGAGCTTAGTTCCAAACTTTTTTTTCAAACTTTCAATTTTTTCATCACAACAAAATTTTTCTACACACAAATTTTCAACTTTTCCATCATATCATTCCAATTTCAACCAAACTTCCAATTTTTGCGTGAACTAAACACATCCACACCAAAATTAGAAGTTTGAAGAAATTGAAACGATGTGACAGAAAAGTTAAAAATTTACTCCCTCCGTCCAAAAAAACTCACATCCTCTCCTAAGATAGCGAATCTAGATAAAAGGTAGTCCAGATTCATTGTTCTAGGAAGGATCACAGGTTGAATTCTTTTTGAAACGGAGGAAGTATGTGTGTAGGAAAGTTTGATATGACGGAAAAATTAAAAGTTTTTTTAAAAAAAAGTTGAAATCTATACAGGACCTAAGACACAAAAATCTCACAGGTTGCTCAGGGCACCAACCAAACATACCCACATCCCTGCTCTCCCTACTCTTGCCTGCATATATGCAGCTGGTATCGTACGTGCAGTGAGTCGCGAGACTACGACAACGCACTGATGGCATAGATGATGTAGGAGTTGCAGCATGGCAGTTGCACGCTTTCATGGCAACATTGAAGTACTACTGTTCGGCCTGTTTAGGTGGTGAAATAAAAATTTTTGGATATCACATCGGACGTTTGACCGGATATAGGAAGGGGTTTTCGGACACGAATGAAAAAACTAAATTTCATAACTCACTTGGACACCACGAGACAAATCTTTTGAGCCTAATTAATCCGTCATTAGTACATGTGGGTTACTGTAGCGCTTATGGTTAATCATAGTTTAATTAGGCTCAAAAGATTCGTCTCGCGATTTATATACAAACTGTGCAATTAGTTTTTCTTTTTATCTATATTTAATGCTCCATATATATGTCCAAAGATTCAATGTGATGTATCTTCCACATGCGTTCGAGTTTCTGACCAACAAACAGCTGCTGACATGACTTTATGAGCTTGGTCCTATGTTATCCATAGCTTAAATCCATGAGACGATCGGTCTGTTTATGATACTCCCTCCATTCTAAATTGATCTACATATAATTTTTTTGAGGTTATTCCTGAATGATCTACATATTTGTGTTCATTTATTAAGTATATTTGTTATTTGTGTATTGGAGTAAATGGACATTGATGCATGCATCCATGCACACAAGTATTTATAACCCACATGCAATATCTGAATTTGCTATTGGCTAGGAAATAGTAGGGATGGTGAATGCATTGAGTTTGTTGCTAAAGTAAATATAGTATGAGAGAGTTATTAGCTTTTCTTGGTCTTGGTGTACCTATGAAATATGTAGATCAATTTGGAATGGAGGGAGTATGACTTTACGAGCTTGGTCACCTTGTGGGTGTGTTTAGTTCGCGAAAAAAAAATTTAGTTGTCGCATCGGATGTTTGACTGGATGTCAGAAGGGGTTTTTGGACACAAAATTATAATTTCATCATTATACATATCTTAACACAAAATTATAGAAAATAGCCGAGCTATTTCAAAGTGTAATAAAATAGTAAAAAAAAATCAAATGATGCAAAGGAATAGAGGTAGTTGCTACTTCTTTCCTTCATCCTACAATATAAAGTAATTTTGTAGTTAGCCATAGACAGGATTTAACTTTGGTAGGGGCGGAACTAGATAGGAGAGGGGATGCTTAGGAACCTGGTAAAAAAAATAGCTATAGTTATATATTTTCACTATGTATATATCCCTCAATCCATACGAACTCGCACTCTCTAAATTAGTAGAGCAAAATAAACGGATAGCACATCTCTCCATTTCGTTCCAGCTCCATCACTAATAACTTTGGGAAACCACCTGCTTGTTGCATGGTTCGCATGACCAGTTGGTGAGGATCTGCGAACCACGTTTTCCACGTACGTAAGCGTACGTGATGTAACACCACATGCCATGCGTTGCGTCACATTCCTTATACGTCAGCCAAACCACCAGCAACTACTGCTACTATAGATATATGCAAGCATCATCAGGTATGTTTTGTTGTCTAATGATATGTTTTGACTTTGAATTATATTCGGGTCGTGCGTTATAACAGTTGTTTTAAGAGAAAAAAAAAACTATACAGGTTTTTAGCACGGCAAATTAATTATATTTGCCTCGAAGTTTAATACATAACTTACACGGTTACACCATAGTTATATAGACAATGCACAAAACCTAATAACGTTATAGCACGTTATGAATAAAAACATGCATTTTGAAGATTTATTTGGCATAGATAGGGATGTAAATTAAGCGAGATTTGCTTTGATCCAACAAAAAGTATCTTGAAGTACCGGTAACTCACAGTACCAAATCATTCCTCATCGTTGGATATATCAATGTCCATTCTACCCAATTAGATATAACGATCAGAAATAATTTGGTGTCATGAAGTACCGGACCTTGAGGTACTGTTTTTTTTTTTTTTTACCGGAGCAAATCTCAAATTAAACGGGTCGATCACAAGGTGCGGTCGTCAGCAGGCGCCACGGCGGAAGCCGACGGAGCCGCCGACGACGTCGTAGAGCACCTCGTGCGTCTGCTGCTGCACGTTCCCGATGAAGCCGAGCGCGAAGTCTCCCGGCGTCGGCACGAACGCGAGGCACCCCTCCACCATGACTCCCATCGCGTCCAGCCTCACCACCGCGCCGCCGTCGAACACCAGCGACACCGCCGGCACCGTCACGCTCGTGAACCGGACGAAGTCGTAGCAGGTGTCCAGCCCGGCCCTCCCTCCCGCCACCCGCGGGTACGCCGCCATGGCGCTCCGGAACGCCAGCCGCAGCGCCCTGTACGCCGTCGGCGGCAGCTGCGTGATGATCACGCTCGAGTCCATCACCGCGCCGCCGGCGAACACCACCGGCGGCACGTTCAGCCGCCGCCCGCCGACCTCGATGCCCCTGAGGCGAACCAGGTACAGCGTCGGGATGATGCTCGGGTTACGCACCAGCGGCGTCCTCGCGAACATGGTGCCGGAGGTGGAGGCGCTGAAGTTGCCGCGCACGGCGTGGCTGCAGCCGAAGCGGAAGTTCATGACGACGGTGCTCGGGTTGAGCGTGAGGGCGTCCACCATGTACGTCCCCGAGGTGGCCCTGCCGTCGCCGTAGTCGACGAAGTACTGGCACTGGTTGTTGGAGCAACCAGCGCCGTAGCGGCCGAGCTCGCCGCAGGCGGCGGAGCCGCACGGCACGGCGGCGGAGGTCCTCGACCTCCTCGGGTCAAACAAGGCGTTCTGCTGCGGGTAGCACTCCGGCATGGGGCACGGCGCGCACTGGATCCATGGCAGGTCGATGCTGGTGTCGATGGACATCGGCTGCGCCAGGATGGGGTCGTCGATCGCCGACGGGCGGCTGATTCTTGACGACGACGACGACGACGAGCCCGATCTGCCACCGGTGCCGATGCCGAAGCTCGCCTGCATCTTGTAGTCCGACTGCTGCACGTCGACGATCGGCTTGTCCGGCTCAAGCACGACGTCGCCGCCGGCGGTGGCCTTCCTCCGGATGGCGTCGGTGTGGAGCTTGTCCCAGCGTAGCATGTCGACCAACAACGGCGGCGAGGTTGTCGTCGGCGACGGCGAGCACGGGCCGTAGGGGCGGTGCAGCGCCACCCACGTGCCATTGCTGGATGGCATTGCTGCACGCATGTACTCATGTACACGTATTAGGCGTACATTAAGCAAGCCTAAATTAATCAGCAGTTAATTAGTAAGTAATTACTGCAGAATTACGTTAACACATTACCCTTGAGACCGGAGCAGATGGCTTTGGGCTTCAACAAGGAGCTGGTTTCCACGACAATGTAGTGCTCGCGATTCTCAGCTCCTCCATCACCATGGCCATGGCCATGAGAGCCCATGGACGAGAGGATGAAGATGTGGAGTAGTAGTAGCGGCAAGACACTTGTCGTCATGGTAAACGAAGTTAATTTTAGGCACTAGGCTGGCAATGCATAAAGGATAGATGATCCATCGGCTTATATATACAGAAACTTTTTATGATCGTCTCTAACTGATAATATTTTATTTTAGTACTATTAGCTTACATATAAGATATTAAGATGTGCATGTTAGGTATTTTTAAGGACCTGAAATATATAATTATCTCCATTTTGGTAGACCCTAATATGGAACCTTATAGGTAACATGAAGCAGCCACTCCAAAGCTCTATAAGATGTTAATTACTTACATATATCTATCTATGGTGATTATCAATTAATGTCCAATAAAAAAACAATGTGTACATAGAGCGAGTACAATTTTTTAATAGATCTTGGT